ATTTTTATTGACACAAATAATTTTGCTTGCATGTGCGTGGGTGTTTTTATTTGTTGACAGGTATTTGATATTTCACTCTTGATTGGATTGTGATTTATTTTTATGTTATTTGTGCTTGTTAACACCAAATACAGGCACTAACACACAAAATTGGAATTTACTTATTCATTTCTGGGTTGGCACATTTGCTGTGTTCTGCTCATTCAACTGTTGCCATTTCAATTTTCAATTTAAAATTCTTCTTGCACAAATCCTTAAAGCCCCTGTCTGCCTTAAAATCTGTAAACAGGCAATGCCAATCAAGCTCCGAACGTTCAACTCCTTAATTCATACCAACACACACACAAGGTTTTTTGGGTGTTTTCGTCAAGCTTGATTGTCTGAACAAACAGAGCAAAAGTTTATCTAATTGCACGCATCGAGAAACGAAATCGATGCTCATACAATCACAACAACAATAACGATAACAATAAATAACAACACAGGACAGAACACTGCCAAAATAACAAACACACACAAGATACATACGTTTAGAAATATAGAGAAAGAAGTTTGCATAATTCTTTATAAAAAAAGGAACAAAAATTGGATACAAAAGTTATTAGCTCCGCGAGTAGCCAGATAAAATATTATGCGACATTAAATCATAAGAAAAAGAAATATAATATATTTAATAACAATTTGAAAAAGTACTAGTTCAATTATATAGATCTGAAGCTTGGGGATTAAATTAGAACAAAAATTGTCTTAAAAAATTGGCAATGCCAAACCCCCGAAGTCTAATTATGGACTTTATTTGACAACTTTTTGTGGAAATATAAGAACTACTATAATTACACCAAAATCAGTATTAGCACAACTTGAAATCATTTGAAATTTGAATTTAAATTAGCGTTAATTACTTTCTTGCCACAAAATAGTTTGCCAAGCAATACATACTATATTGCTATACTATATTGCAGTACAGTATTATAAATTGGTGTTGCTTAGAAAATCCACAACATTAATTCGATTCTCACTTAAATGGTAATCAATACTACTAAGAAATACAATTTTATATACCCATCTTAAATATTTGAATGGAATTGATCCCTTCAACAACTTCGAACAGTTTCATTTTTATTTTTTTGTTCTATCAAAACCAACTAATCCAACACTCATACCTATTATTTTGGCCGCTACTGTTTGCGGTTCTTTCATAAATCATGTGGCCTGCCGCTTTAGTTAACCCGCTTGCAGCGCTCGACAATTGTTTGCTTTAGTTTACCAACCCAACAAAAAAAAACCATATACAAATATTTGTTGTTTTGTGCATATTGTGCGTGTGGGTTTGTGTGTGTGTGTGTGGGTTTGTGTGTGTGCGTGTGTGTGTGTGTGTGTGTGTGTGTGTGTGTGTGTGTGTGTGTGTGTGTGTGTGTGTGTGGGTGTGTATGTAGAAGCTGTATGTATGTAAGTATGGGGTACAAAAGCTCATGGCATAACCAACACAGAGAGGTCAAAGCCTCAGTGGCAGCCACGACCGTTGCCAAAACATGCTCAGCTTAGACCAACAACAAAAACAACGTTCGCCGAAGGCCAAACCACTGTCCATTACACAGACACACACATACATACAAGTAAACACAAAAGTGGGCATGAAAACTACAATTCCAAATTTTGAAGGCGCCCAAAACATGGCTAATGCTTTATTTCATATTCCTGCCACGGGATTTTCAAACAAAAGGAAATAAGCTGTGCGAGTTATGTGGAATCGGAGCGTACGGAGGTGTGTGTCACAAAAAGATGTCAATAAATTAGCAGAAATAGAAGCAACAGGAGTGGGCTAATCCTCTCCGCATGTAAGCCAGATACTCTCTCGCTAAGATAGACACAGGGTTGTCCAGGGAACAAGAGCAACAAGCAGAACGAAATGCTGGCAATATAGAGCTCATAAGCAGGAAAGGAATTAATTCTCTCTCTCTGATTAGGGATTTCTTAATAGGCAGATATAAAAGAGAATAACAGACCCTGCAAGCTCTTTCATAAAAAATTTATAGAAGAAGTAATTCATAAATTATGAATCTCTAAAATTTGTGTTAATATAAAAACATGTTAAAAACATAAGTAGTCCTTAATTCACACATTTACATTTATTTATTCACACATAATTTCCAATGTTCAGTGGCTGGCAGTAGTATGTGTGCGTATAATTATTAGGTTCATGTAATTAAATTACATTCACTTGAAAAGCCTGTGAGCTATTCAACTACGTATTAAGCCACTTCGTGGAATCACAATTGCTGCCAAATAAATACGCACTGAGGTCTTTGAGTGGAAGCGGAAGACTTCATTGCATTGCCAGAGTAGTTATTTTTTTGTCTCTCTTCCCATTTTTATTTGCTAACGTATTTGACTTGTCAATTCATTTTGCCGTCATTAGCTTAGTCACAGCTACCATCGCACTCATCTTCCAGGACCCCTTAAGCGTCCGGCAACTTATAACAAATTAAATAAGTTTCAACGCATTTACTCAGTCGTTTTCGTGCCAAGTTTTTCATCTTATTTGTATATTTTAGTTTAGTTTTATTTGCACAAACGCTAAGGCTTGGACGGCAACCATTATCATGCTCTTCTAAGTAAACTAAGGAGAACACACACAAAAGAAATCAGCTGAAATTTATTTGGTTGTAAAAGCGTCGGGCCAAAACTTTTTGCTTTTGTTTGAAATTTGTTTCGCATTTGTAAGTTGAAATGTTTTGCAAAACGATTTGTGCAAAAAACAAAACCGAGCTGGAGAAAAAAATGTTGAAAGCATGCCCACAGGCGCAGCAAACCTCAGACTTGCAGCTGTCCTTTTGTGTGGTCCCAAATGAAAGGCGAAGGCGAAACGAGTACAACAAGAACAACAACAGGAGAAGCGGCAGAAACAGAAATGAAAACTTTAGTTGAATGGCGCGTCGCCTTTTAAATGAGAAATAAAAAAAGGAACTTGCAAGTACCTTTCTCGCACTTTTCCATTTATCTCATGCATTTTCTTTCTCTTTCTCTATCAGTCTCTCTATTGCTCTTTATTGACGCTTTTAAGGCAACGCCAGATTTAATTTAATTTAACTTTCTCCTTTCTTTAGTGCCTTTCTCTGTTTGCGCTTAAACAAATTTTATTTTCAATGCGTCTTTTTTTTCCTTGGCCAAAAAGTTTCCTCACCGATTTAAATACAGGCGCGCGCCAGCCTGCCAGTCAAATGTACCCAGCTTTGTCTTATTGACACTTTCAAATTCACTGCCCAAGAGGAGCACAAAAAACTGGCAACAGGCTTGTCCCTTTTTTTATTTTTCTTCCAAACTCTACTGAACCCCAGCCAGTTGGTGCGTAGATACATTTCAGAAGTTTTAAAGAGATGTCAGCAATGGGGCAGCAGCAGCCGATCCTAAAGCTCTATCACACCAGCTGGATGGCAGGTTCAATCACGCAGTCATACTTTTTGACATGAAATTTCAATGATTTTCGACATGTTGCACGAAATTAATTTTTAAAGCAATTTGTAGCATTATTCAAAAATGCTGCAAGTTTTAAAGTTTAAGTTTGGTTGCACAGGATATAAGATGTAGGATTTATACTTTTCACATAATAATAAATATAAGAAAGCATCACAACTACTAACGTAATTTACCATCCGTCTAGCTATGCCCTCAATTCACAGCCGTATGTGGGCAGAAATCAAGGAAATTTTATTTTAAAGTGTACAGAAAGTAATTGTAATCATTATATTTAAAAAAAAAAAACTAGAAGACGATTGTGCAAAGCGTAGTCAGTTGTGGATGATAAACGATTTGAAACAAAGCCTGCTAGAAAACGATGACAAATGAATCAAATGGGCAGTATCATAGAGGCTCTAAAGGGATATTTCTTTTTTTCCAGCCGTTTAGACTGCAAATATTTAAGTAGTCAGTCTGTATAATAGTAGCTGAACTTATATATTAATAAATTTTCGGCGATTCCCTTTGCAATACAACATAGATAAAGCCTTTATGCATTCGATTTCAAAAAATCACTTTCATTTGCGTTGCATTCCTGTTTATTAAATTCTGTCAGATTCTTACCAGAAATTGAAAGCATTCCTAAAGCTAATAAGAGAAAAAGCACACCCATGCAATTGACCTAGATTTCTTTTTATTTGCCACCATAAAGAACTCACAAATCTTGCACAATATTAGCCGGCAATGATGGCAATAACAACGGAGTATTCCACGCATACCCCCACTCATACAACAGCACCTATTTTTGTAAACTCGCTTGCATCCATTGGTACATAAACACACACACACGCCCACACAGCGCTTTACAGGAGGAGTATGAATAGCATTCGCTGAGTTATTGCGTCCAACAGCTGTGCTGAATGACCGGCTCGGCTGGAGGAAGGCAGCAGGAGCAGTGGAGGGCAGCACAAATATGTTGCATAAAGCAGGGGATATCATTTGGCAGCCAGCAATGCCAATAGCCGTGCACACAATATATGGCTATACACATACATACATACATATATAGAAGTATATATGTACGCGTTTGTTATTTTTGCAGACACACCAAGCGCAAAATATCAAATAAAATGTCCGGCCGACGACAGGCGTTGGCCATTTGGCAGCCACTACCACATCGAAAGCTTTGCGGTCCCCTCTACCTACTGCCCCTCTACCCAACAATTGTGACAGACGCGACACCTAAGGTAGAAAATATTGCACTAGCGCTTTAGTGGCCATAAGTCAGTGCCGCAAACTGTGCCACGTTTGGCTTTACAGCAGACGAGCCAAATTGAAATTTATAATGCAGCTGTAACACGTTTTCTTTGTTCTTGCCACACTGAGAGCAAAAATTAATAATTTCACTTAGCCTTAAAATGAAATTGAATTAATTCTCAAGTCGATGCTTTGGCATGTTTATTTGCTTTTAAGGGTCTATATTTTATTTATATAACCAGTTTCTGACAATGTACTTGTAATTCAATCATTGAATTTCTTTGCAGGCTACTTTCCGCTCGGCTCGGAGCATTGTCTGACCTGGATTTGTCTGGATGTGCTGTTCTGCACGGCCAGCATTATGCACTTATGCACCATTTCTGTGGATCGCTATCTCTCGTTGCGGTATCCGATGCGGTTTGGTCGCAACAAAACCCGTCGACGTGTCACACTAAAAATTGTGTTTGTCTGGCTGCTGAGCATTGCGATGAGTCTGCCCCTCAGTCTGATGTACTCGAAGGTGAGTTGTTGACTTAATTCGATTCGTTGCTTTGGCTAATGCGTCGCTCTATCGCAGAATCACGCTTCGGTGCTGGTCAATGGCACCTGCCAGATACCAGATCCGGTCTACAAGCTAGTCGGCTCCATTGTTTGCTTCTACATACCATTGGGAGTCATGCTGCTAACCTATTGCCTCACAGTTCGGCTGTTGGCGCGTCAGCGCCAGAATCTGGGCGGAGGAAATCAGTCAGCGGCGGCCACGCCGGGATGGGCCAGCGGCTGGTTGGGTCAGACGCCTGCTCTGGGTAAGTGTGTATGTGTGTGTCTGCGTCTATGTGTTTAGAGCATCACGAAAGTTTTGCCATAAATGTGCACAGCAGAACTTTTCTACTTTAATGGAAACAGCAAAACACACCCACAACTGTCAACGCTTAATGTAATTTTCGTTTGTTTTCCTTTTCACATTTTGGCTCTGTGGCGAAAATGTTCCTGCATGCACTTTTGAGCTGTCACACGTTTATTATGCACAAAAGTTGAGCATGACACTCTGAAAAACTCTCAACAAACACACGCAACTGCATATTGTACTTAGACAGTGGGCACTCGATTGTAACAACATGTGTGCAAATTAAAAATATAAAAGTTGCTAAATATATTTGGTAAATTTCTATGTTTCTTACTGTATAGTATTTGTTATTATTTAAATCAGAGTGCTTATGTGAGCGAATATTAGCTCTTTATTTCTTTATTATAAGTCTCCAGTAAATTAATTTGCAAGTAGTAATAATTTTACAATAATTTATAGATTAGATACAAAAACATTTCCATGAAGCAGTTTATTAAAATATTATGACTCGGATATAAACACGGATCCCCACTTATTACTATATATGTGATATTAATTTTTAGATGAATTATTGTTATTATTTATGTCATAATGTTTGTGCAATTTTTTAAAGATATTATACATATTTCTTTAGCCAGTAATGACAGTATTAGCAATGCACCGACTTTTCCCATTCTTACACTTCCGTAATTATTCGTGTCAAGGACATGACTTGATTATCTCTGCTTTATATATCTTCTATATAGCTTAGAATCTGTGACATTTGTAATGACGCGCAGGTGCAATTCGCAGGAGGTCGTCACAAAGGAACAGGACGGCAATAGGTTAAGTTTTTTGGGGTGCCGAACAAAAATTACGTCACACTCTGGCCGGCGGGCATACCTGGGCCAGAGCATCGTTGCACGTTTTATCAATTTTCAGCTTGCATTTAAAAAATTTTAAGCGAAGCCAAAGATTCAATCTCTACAAAACTATTTCTCATAAATGTACACAGCCTGCTCCAATTAGTTTTGTAATCGATGTATGAAGAAAGCTTTCGTTTATTTGGTTTCTCGTCTCAAACATTCATGCATTGCATTAAGTATGAAGCGAAATATGCACCTGATTTTTATTTTGTTTATTGAGTCAGCCTTATGGAGATTTTACTGTGCCCAGAATGAAAGGTGTGTAAACAGTGGATAGCAGAACAAGGGCTCATGTGTCGAGAGTAGCGCTTAAGCCAGAAACACAGCCATGCACACACAAACACAGACACATATATGTGTGTACAAAAAGCAGACATTGCACTACTTATGTAGGCAGAGAATTGGAAGGTACTCGAGTCGCTTCAATGCAGTTGTAACCATCTGACTTACTCACCTTTACAAAACAGGGCGCAACAATACGTAGAGAGATGGAGAGAAATAGAAAAGCAGAAGGAGAGTAGGAGGGACAAAGAGTGCTGACCATAAAGGCAAACCACAAATTTTGATAGTGGTTACAAAACGTTTTCGAGTGCCGACTTTGGCGCAACATTGCAAATGGCGGAATAAAAATTTCATTGCCTAATTTGCGGCTGCTGCTACTATCTGTGTATTACATACTTATACGTGTATATTATATAAATGCATGCTATTCATGCACAATGCAAAATCAATAAAGACACAAGCATGTTTAATGCACAGACTAGCATATGGCCGAGCTGAGCCACATATCGAGCCAATCGATGCAAAATGCATTCAAGCACTAGCACCTAACACGTATTTAACTGTCCCAGAGCGCATGTGTGTGTGTGTGTGTGTGTGTTTATGTGCATGTGTATTCGGCGTGTGTGTTTGTACATTGTAAGTGGCATTGCAGTTATTTTAAGCTAAATCTCCTGTAAAGCGCAAACATTTTGCGCAGGCACGTAGAACGACTTTTGCTCGTGCTCTTTGGCTGGCGTTTTTCTGCGACGGCCAGCTCCAGGAATCCGCACACAGACACATATGAACGAGTATATGCATGCATACAGTTGGGTTTATGCATAATGAACTTAGAGCGCAAGTCAGGAAAAGTTGCTTGGCACAAAATTAAATTTGTTTTACTTATTCTGCACTATAAATAAAGGCTTTTTAAGTGAACATTTCGGTCAACAATTCTAGCTTATTAATAAGATAAAATATAAAAAATAAATATGTACATATATGTATATAAAACAAAAATATTATGTACAAATATGAAGGAAGCCTTTTTGGGTAATTAAAAAAAGCGATATTTTCATTATTATTTTATTCGTTACACGAGTTTAAGCATTCGTTTCTGCAGTTCTTATTTATTTATTTATTTAATTACTTTATTTTATGTCGACAAATGGAGCTATGGAGCCTTTCGAGACAAAACAGCCTAAATACGAAAAATTACAATCATGTTTCAACTCAATTAACAGCCAAATGTTTTCTGATAACACTTATAACTAAAGAAACAAAACAAAAATACAAAATAAAAAAAACTAACAATTTAAATAATCTACTGAAAAATATCCACTATTTGATGATGGAATTACTTGTATATTAATATATAGAACAAAACAAAGAAAGAATATTAATATAAATAAAATTAAATAAATAAATAAAGATATTGTTAATTTCAGCTGGGCGGTTTCATTCTTTAGTTTTATTTATTTTATTGATTTTTTTTATCATCAGAAGCGTTGTTTGTTGATGAAATAAATAAAATTAAAAAATAAAGTTTATTTCTGTTACAAATATTTTATTTGAAAAAAAAAACCTGATCTAGAGGACTACGAGCGAAACTCAAAAAAAATAGAATTTTGACCTTGAGATCACCTTAAGATCAACCCTAACCCTTGTTAAAAGAAATTCAAAAATGAATTACGACAAATTTAAATTAAATTTCGAAAGCATGCTCCTAAAACAAATGATGCTTAACTTAAAATATATTTTAACAATTTTTTTTCTTTTACATTCAGTTTTATTTCATAAAATATGAGAGTGAATGAAAAATTGCTTGTAGGGAATTTTCTCTGTAGATATACTTACTTGTATCTCTGTAGCTACAACAACTTACTTTGTAACTTTGTACGTAGTCGTTCGGATTTATTAGCGCATTTATTAAGCTCATCGCTGGCATGTGACTTTTGAGTGCTGCAACTATTCAAGTGGAAAAGCAAAAAAGATACTACATTGCTGGCATGTAAACGTAAATTTGATTTTCTTTTTGCAGAACGTCGCTGCACTTGGCGCCGTCTCCTAAAGCCGGGCCAGAGTCACGCCTCATCTGTATTGCATGCACACTCAGCCAATTCAACGGATACGGATTTGTCAACGCTCGACAATCATGAGCTCTGGCTGCCAGACTCAAGGTAAGACACAATACACAAGTATTTCTGCATTAGTTTCTTAAACCTGCTCTACTTATTCCAACATACCGTATGTGCCTGTCCACAGCATACCCGAACCCACGCCCACTACCATGACAGCTTTGCATCAGTTTGGCGCTGAAATGCTGAAGCTGTCCCGCGGCCTGGAATCCGTGGCCTCGTCTTCAACGACAGGCTCACCCACCAAATCCGAATTTTCCATATCCAATCACCTGCAGTTCCCCTGCAGTCCGCAACGATATGCGACACAGCAGCAACATCAGCAAGAGACACAGCACCAGCGGGGCGTCACGTACTTGCAGCAGATATCGCCAAAGAGTCGTCAACAACCGGCTGGGACGACCAACGAATTGTTTGTCCTGGAGCGCGAGAGTACGCGCAACTCCTTGCAAGCCAGCAGCAGTCGGTTGGGGGAGCAGAGCGAGGGGTGAGCAAACTTTCGTTTTTGGCTAATTGAAAGCCTAATTGCATGTAAATTTCAAGAGACGCAGTTCGAGGTTTATTATTTCTTCAAGGCTCTCTCCGAGCCATGAATTCATTAACAACATTTGGGGCGAGCAAAATCTTAGAAACTGCGCTGTTGTCAAAAAACACAATTACTGCGGCACACTTCTATCGTAAAATTTCTATAAATTTCAATTTCAACTATGAACTGAAAGTGTAAGCACATGGGCTGATTGCATTTAAGTAAAGAGTAGACTATAATTTGCCTTTTTTCCAAATTATTATTTTTTTTTAGCTGACACATTGTCTTATGCACATAAGATGGCAGCAAAAAATTCAAGTACAATGACAAATGTTCTTAACGTTTTTATAAAATTGGAGCAATTACATTTATTTATTCAGAGCTTTTTTGTCACTTGAAAAATCCAATTAACATTTTCATTACTTTTAAATTTGAAAGTTTCAGTTTCTATTTGAATGTGTATTTTCGTAATTTACAGGAAAATGCAATTTCAAGTAGAAGCTTAGCATCACATAACGTAGAGGCGCAACAATGTCTTTTAATTTAGTGTGTATCCAAACATTTTCAACTTAATTTGTGTTTTTAAATGGGATAGCATTTTAACACCCGGTAGACAAAGAATAAAACTGTATACTAGATACATTAATTAATGGAATCAATAGCATCACTTTAATAAATTGATCAGTTGATAAAGAAATTCCTTCGAAATAATATAAATGAAAACAACTCCATGAATTGGAAAAACAATAAAATGTACGGAAACTTAGAATATTAAACATAGGCTAGAGAGTCTCTTAAAGATATTTCTGGTTGGCCAATTTTTATATATATTGCTTGAAAAAGGTTGAATTACATCATCATATTTTTGTATTCTAAATTTGCCAAATTAATGATTTGTTTTTGCGATATTTTTATTTATTTATTTATTTATATTTATGTCAACAAAAATTGACTGTCGACGTAGGAGGACAATATCAAAAATTACAAAATACAGAAATACAAATAAGTCCAAGATAATGTTGAAACAAAAAACTTTTGATACAACAATTGGTTGTGAGCTATTTTTCTTCCTCAAACACAAAATAATGCATAAATACTGAATGAGATAAATTATCTCCCCTCTGAATATATATTGTTTTAAATTTGTTCAATGAGTATAAAAGATAATACGTATGCAAATAAGTGCTATTGATTTTATGTCTGACAACTTGCCCATCACAAATATAAAGCCAACATACTTATAAAAAGCGCACACGCACAAGGACAGTATTAAATAAATTTTCTTTACAATTTGTTTTCAATACTTATTTGTATGCATACGGGTATAAGTGCGAACAAAGAGCATTGAGCAATTTAACCAATTTGTATATTATATGGCTCCACACACAGCGTACAAGCAAATTAATAAATAATTTTAATATATTTATTTTGGTACAATTACTGGTTAATACTGTCTCTCAAACGGTGCAAATTGTTTAAACAAGAAATACCAGCATTTGTATCGATAACGTAAATTCGCACATTCTTCGACAAACTTTCCACAAACATTTCATTCAACTTTTATGTCGCAAAATAAAACCGTTGCCCCAACCTGAATATTTAATATTTTAATAAAAATCTCTTTAAATTCCGTACAATTTGAAACATTTTAAATTAATTTTTGTGCAGTCCATTAAAAGTACCTACCTTCCAAACGGACATGCCGTGTATTGTGAGAGCAAATTTTTAGAAATCTGTGGGTTGTTTATTTCAAAATGGCAGTTGACTAGTGTTTTTATTATTGTTTTCCTGTTTCCTTCACCTAGAACGCTCACTTGTGCACCTGACAAAGGAGCCACAGGCAAACAATTGTAGCTGGCAAACCTTTAAAGGCCACCGGCTCCATTTCAAGTCCTTGCCATTGTTGTTTCAATTGCTGTTGCTGTTGCTGTCCATTTTTCTTCTTCCTGCACGGATGAACGCACCAAAGGCGAAAGACCAGCTGCCGTGGACTCACTTTCTTGTCGCATCTTTGGCCTGTACCTCAGCTCACATTACGTTACGTTTCTTTTCTTCCTTCATACTCCTTTTTTTTGCTCATTTTGTCTTTTATTGTCCTTCCGCTTTTGACTTGTTGTGAAATTTTTCGAAATAATTAATGTTTTTTTAGGTGCTTTTCCTGTCTTTCTCGCACTTTTTCCATTTTGTTCAGCTAGTTGGTTTTGGGAAGCGTTGCTTTCGACTTGGAGCTGTGGGGCTCGCATTTTTAATGGCGCTTGAGCCGCTCAACTGATTTGGCAACGTTGGCGTAGGCGTTGGCGTTGGCGTTAGCATTGCGTGCTATTGCTTCTTCATTTTCTTAAATGTTTTTCTCATTAATTTTCTAATTTTAGTTGAATATTTTCATATAACGAGCCATACGGCACGAGCCGAGAGCAGCAGAAGCATTCATAAATTCAATTAAAAATATCAAAATGAGAATAAATTCCTTTTATTTTTGAACAACGAGTGGGCAGTGCTCAAGAAATATAACTTACCCCTCATCTAATCATAAACGAAATAATTGTTGAGTTAACGGCATGCCATCACATGGCCGAATGCCTTATAAGCAATGCAAAAAACAAATAAAATAAACCAATAAACCTATGAACTTATCAAAACAAAAAGCACAATCCGAAAATTCTATTAGTTGTTAGGGAACTACAAATATAATTAAATTTTGGGATTAATTTATATGAGTATACATTTTTCTTAAAGTGCGATTTGTTGTACTTATATTATTTTCAAGAATTTATTAAGCTCAAGCACAGTCAATAAAATGTAAAATTCCAGTTGAAGAAAAACACGATAGGCCAGAATTTTAGACCCACAATTTTTTATCTGTGAAAATTTCTCATTAATTCAAACCACCACAATAGCTTTTTACGTATATACTCGTTCTACATCTATCTAACTTACCCACCTTAAAGTGATTTTGGGTGAAGCAAAAGTTATAGAATTAATATTCAAGCTTCAGCTTAATTTTTGACCTAGCAATTGCAAGAATATTGATTAGACTACAAAAACGAAGATTAGTAGCGCTTGAGAAAATGATTATTCATCTTTAAATAATACAAAATGCTTCCTGCATTAGCAAGCAATAATAAAGCAAATGACTACGGCAGTTAACCGAAAAACTGACTCCAAAATGCACTTTAAAAATGCATAAATTTAACTTTGATTGCTTCACGTTCTCTTAACGTGCCATATGCAAGTCTATTTCAAAGAAACGAGAAAACGAAAAAGTTTGTAAAAATCCGCCGCGAATTTCCCTGTCTGGTTGGCTTTTCCTAGCAACGACTTTTTTTGGCTGCTATCAAACGTGCGACAAAAGCAATTGTGCTCATATTTGGCAACTTGTTCGACAGTTGAATGCTGCACAAAACGGTTTAATCAATAAAATGGATTTCGGCTTAGATGGCCGGGTGCCTGATCTCCAACGATTTCGCTCTCCTTTTTGTGTGGCAGTTGCTGTCTAAAGTGGCGCTCAATTTAAGCCCGCCATTGTGTGAAGCAACAAAAAACCGTCGACAAACGAGGCACACAAAAAAGTGGTTTAATTGTTTGACAATTTGTCGTTGGCTTCATGATTTTTTGACAGCCACCCAGTCGTCGAGCGGGCCTCGACATAACAAATGCTCTGTTGTTGCGTGCCTTTGAGCATCCAACATAATTCCATGGTCATTGAATGTAACAAATATTTTTTGTTAACTTTTTTTGCATGCCACGGACAATAGAGCGCGTCAAGCCAAGCATTCCAAGTATTTAGAATAGGGATGGAAGCGTGAAAAATTCCATAAATTCTGTTTTTAAATCGGGTTAAAATTGGTATTGGTATGAGTGTTTTATTATAAATAGAAGGATATTCTTTATAAAAGATGTGAATAAGTCTTTCAGTAATTTAAACGAAAATTAGCTAAATATTTCCAAAAAATAAAAAATAAGTGAAAAGGACTGTAAACTGATTTTAAATGTTGGTTTAAAAGTAGCTTAATTACATGAATAAAATAACGACATATAATAATAGGTAAACATATTGGGCATTCAAAATTTCTAGAATTAATGTATATTTCTGTTTTGTGAGTGCTTTTGTGGGTCTAACAAAAATGTAAGAATATACATTTTAAAATATAATTCTCACTTCATGCTATTCAATAGTATAATTTTCTAACATTTCTGAGATGGTAGACCTCTCGATATTCTTATGTGCATATCCATATCTATATATGTATGCATCTTTATGTTTCAATTACTACTTCTTCTTCAGTTTTTGAGAACTATCACAGATATTGTTTCGAGAGCGACCATGTCAGTTCACTGTACCCTCTACTTGTCATAAAAACTATATCACTTGAAAGAGTTGTTGTATGCAGAATTTTGTGCATATAAATAAACTGGAGCCGCATTGAGTATTGCACATGTTGTTGTCATACCTGATGGTTTGCATTACTTATTAAATACAAAAGTTGGTCATAAATGTCCAAATGCCAATAAGGCATCAAAACTGATTTCTTAGCTCACTTCGACTGCCAATTGTATTGTGATTTTCAAATAATATTTCAATTTGTATAGATTCGCATTGCAAATATTTACGTGCCTGCATCTCCAATTGGAAGATGGCCACAAGTTTTGTTAACACTAACCGCAATTCATTTGAGCAGTCTGCCGGAAGTCCCTGCCGGTGTGTGCGTGAGTGCCAAAGTTGAATTGTAATTGTCAAGGGGAGGGAGGGGCCGTTGGTGGCTTCAAGGCAATGAAGACGTTGCCTTGATGAGCCAGCCAGCTGTTTAATTCCTTTGTGGTTGAAACAATAATAAACTCAGTGTGGTGCTGGCATGTGGCGCATTGTTTTACGGCTGCATAATGAGGCGGCCACAAATACATGCGCACTTTTATACAAGCACACCCACACACAAACACATTGAAGCACACACACACAGACACACACACAATAACACTCCACGCATCTCAATTTATGCGCGCGTCTCGTGCAAACAAATCAAAAGTGGCAGGACTGCATAATTAGGCGCTGACACACATACACACACACCCATACATACATACAAGCAGAAACACAGAAACACCAAGACACTCATATACATAAATACACTCTAAAAATTAGGACTAAAACTTAGTCTCTTAACACAATTATTGACAATTTCAGCGAGTATTAAAGCATGCAATTAAATAAACGTCAATTAAAACCCAACAGTCACAATTTATTAATATTACGATAATTACTTTAATTATTTTAACTGTTGCTTTTAACAATAATTGATATAAATGAAAATGAATCTGCTTGTTTTCATTAATATTTAAATATAAATAAATAACTGAAAACGAATGGTTGCATTTATTTGTTCCATTTTTGCTGCTACTGTTATAATTTATTAAAACCCCCTTTCTTGTTTATTACTTTTAAATATTTAAACTATATTTATTTTCAACAAATTAAATGAATAAATAAATAACTGTACACTGATTATTAACAAATATTTTGCATTTTCGGTGGTGTTTTTATAATTATGAATACTTTTTGATTATTGTTATTATAACTACTTTTATAATAATAATAATAAATATAATTACCTTTGTGTGTCGACATTACTGATCATTAACACTATTTCTAAAACTTTTCTCTTATTATTAATAAATTTTTATAATAATTTTTGATTATTACACTTTTTTTAACAGAGAAGTGATATTTTTGCAAGTTTATTATTTATTTTCTTCAAAATATTCACGTACCGGTACAATGCAATTCTCCCTTTGTTGGTCTTATTGCTTTTTATATGTTTAAAGCCACATTTATAATAAAAATAATACTATTGGATCTACATCCACTAAAGCAACACCGGTAATGCCAAGTGTTGACATCTAGGGATTGTCCTTGCCTCCTCCTTAAGCCGCTTCCCGCCTTCATTAGCCTCCACTGAAAACCCATGCGGTGCGGCTTGATGGCTTTGCTTTTTAATTTACACGCACCAAATGAAGTTCCTTAAGCTGATGTCCACAGAAAAAAGAGAAAGAAGAGAAATAATTTGCATGCAAGGCAAACAGCGGCAACAACGAAAACAATCACAATAACAAGAACAACAACAAGCAAAAGAAAGCCGCAAGCCAGCTAAAAATTCATGCGCTTTATTAAAATGAATGCGAAATGAGCTGAGCGAGTGCGACAAACTGAGGCGGAAAAAACGTGTGTAGATATAAGCGAAGAGAAACAAAAGCAGCGGGCAACCACAAAGCGCATTTCTTTAGAACATAAAACAAGGGAAATAAAGTAAAACCACACAACCAACAACTACAACAACAGAGTATACGTACATACATATGCTTATATTGTACTTTTTTGCGCAAGCCTTTTGACCACAAAACGTGCCCATGTTCTTTTGCCTTGTAGCGCATTTGTTGGCCATGTACTTGTTGTAATTTTGTTGGACAAGTGCAAGAAATGTGTGCACTCGTATACATATGTGTGTGTGCGTTGGTATGTGTGCTCAAATATTTTGTAGCTGCATTCAGCAGGTGCCTTCAGTTTGCCAATTGGTTGAACAATTTTAATTAAAATTCCGAGCCAGATAAAAGTGATGCTCAACTAAATCCCTTAAAGCGATTTACTCACAATCAACAAATGGGTTTTATTAAATATTAGGTTAGACATTTTTGAAAATAAAAGAAATATGTATGTTTTTTTTTGATTATTTTAGGCCGCTTTTTCTATAATTCTACAGTATTCATTGATATGGCATCATCGAGGACAAAAGTGAGGAAGAACGTTGTTCAGCACTATTTGACACTAATTGCTAATAATTTCCCAACACTTTTTACGACGAACCCAGTCGTTTTGCAGCGCTTTCACACTTTCAAAGAAAAGTTTCAGCTCGGAAACTGTTTCGTCTCAACAACTGAATTAATTACAATGAAGCATGAAAACTAAAACACCTAATTATAAAATATGCATTGCTATCTCATCAAAGATGACAGAAATAAGGAAAAACGTTTCCTAACACTATTTAACCTTAGACGCCTTTAATTCCCAGCTCTGTAGCACTCCTGTTATTTGAAGTGTTCCTTCCACAACTAATAATTTAGTTGCTATTCAACTCTCTCATACTGTCAGGGAAAAGTTTCAGTACTGCAACTATCTTGACTAGTCTTGACAAGGTGTCACAACTAAAAGCCTTGGGGAAAAGTTTCAGCTCTCTCTTACATACTTTGTTGCTGATGAAAGAACTGCACTTAAACAGGCAAAAGAGACATGCTTAAGAATGTACATATACATACATATGTATATAAAAAATATGCAAAGCGTAGACAGACTCTAATCAAAATTGTGTAATTAAATTGATGCAAGAAATCCTGATACAGTATTTGTTAGTTGACAGGATGTTTTATGAAATGTATAACTTTTTAAAATAAATGCATCTGAATGCAAATAACAATTTCCGTTTGATATTAAAAATTGCATATAATTTATAGACATACATTTTTCCGAGCAAAATAAAATATAAAACTAATTCATAAATATATCGAAAGGAAAACCATTTTTTATTTGTTTTTGATGAAAAGTAATATCTAAAAACCACAGCAAATTGTTTAGTTACAAAGAAAGTTATAGGAAAACTTCATAAAAAAACATGCTCTTAGTTGTTCCGGTTTGAATTCAAAATGCTCTTCTTCATAAAAGATGACTAAATTGAATTTAAAGTAGCAAGACATAGCTAATTCGTTTAAAAGAAATATATTAAGTTTGCATTGGAAAATACTACTTCGAGTCGGACATCAATTTAATATGTATCGTTCCATACTTCCCAACTTTTTTATCATCTGAAAACAATCGATGCAGAATTTAGAGATTTATTTTAGAGCCTCTTGCCTTGGCCATGAAAAAAATATTACAAAATATTTATTTCCTTATTCATGTATTTGTAAATTTTATACCCTCGGGTTAGTCCCTGTAGCAAGAAAAAAGTTCTGTTAATTTTAATTTTACCCCTTTTATAATGTCTTCAAATATCTACGCTTGTCTTTACAATGTCTTTTCTTCTCTTTATTCTGCTCAGAACGCTTTCGCAACTCTCGCAACGGTTGCGTGCCTATAAAAAACGACGACGCGCTTCTTCGGCCGCAGCGGGACGGGAGCGACGAGCCGGCGATCAGGACGATGATGAGGAGGACACTCCGACATTGCAGCGCCGCAAACGCTTCAATAGTTTGCCGAAGAATGCGCTCTACCCCCGACACTCGCACGGACTGGGCAGCAGTCTGGACGATGACGATGATAATGATCGCGATGGGGCACAGCCGGAGAAAACTAAATCGTTGGCGAAGAGCAAGAGCTGCCATTCGGACACAGATGTGGAACAGCAGCAGGTACAACAGTGTCGGAGTAGCGAACAGTCCGATTATCTGCAACTACCATCGGTGTGCACGTGTCCCTACTTCGGCGATCGACCGCTCCAGAGCTGCGTGAAGACCGCAGAAGTGAAGATCATATCGTCGAGCTTTAAGGTGACGACGACAGCAACAGCAGTGAGCACATCGCCAAGCGAGATTGACTTACTGCTGTGCACCACAACTTCGGCGGTGGTGGCAGCTCGTGGGGCCAATAAGACACTCACGACGAGCGTAAGCGGAACGGCAACGGGATCAGCGACAACAACGGCCGCAATGACAACAGCAACTGCCACCACCCTAAGTCCACACTCTGCTCATAACCACACCTCCGGCAGCTCCCTCACGGTGCACTCGACGAGCGATGGAAGCGGCTATCTGGCGGCGCCTGGCACTCCTTGCCCCGGACGACGTAAGCTCAGCATTTCGAAAACCGCCTCGGTGGTCACCTGGGACTCGAGTCGGCATCGACGGCGTGGCTCCAGCTTCGGAGGTGTGCGTACCTCTCTGCTGCTGACACCCACCAAGACGACAATGGTGCCCACCTCGAATTCGGCCACGCCGCTGCGTCGCTCGGCAACACTACGAAGTCACAACAACATGAACTATCATCTGCACTCTGCGGGGGAACTGGGCGGCTCTAGTAGTTCGGGGCTCAAGTCAAAGTCCAAGTCCCCACAATCGTCACCATGTTTGCTGCAACGTCAGCAAACCGTACGTTCCCACCACTCTCGCAACTCGAGCGTCATTTCCCGTAACTCTTCACGCCACGGTCGCATCATACGGCTGGAGCAGAAGGCCACCAAGGTGCTGGGCGTGGTTTTCTTCACCTTCGTCATACTGTGGTCCCCATTTTTCGTGCTCAATCTATTGCCCACAGTGTGCGGAGACTGTGAGGAGCGCATCAGTCATTGGGTCTTCGATGTGGTCACTTGGCTGGGCTATGCCAGCTCCATGGTGAATCCCATATTCTATACCATATTCAATAAGGTCTTTCGGCAGGCCTTCAAGAAGGTTCTGCTATGTCGTTACTCAAGTTCCAGTGCTTGGCGTCCCAGCAGATAGCAGACGCCTGTTAAGCCCGGCAAGATAAAGCCGGTGAAGTGCGCCAGTGTGGATTTCGAGGATGCCAGAATTGGAGGCACTAGCATCTCACGGGGAGGGGCAGCCGGTGAAGCAAACATTGAAACACGTTATTTGACCAGCGCCTTGAAACGTGGCAGCACGGCACAATCTGCACCCACAAATGGACCCAGAAAAGTGGTTTAGGGCCATGGGTTGCGGTCTGTTTCTATTCGACGGCACAACCTGATGTCTAAACAGTAAACCTGCATAATGAGGGGCTGTCAAGGGGGTGTGAAAATTAGAGATGTTCTGGCTTTTTGAGAACTTCGTTGGTTCGAAAGAATTAGAATAAAGAATGAAGAATTGTGATCCAACTCATAGTTGCAAACACACATAAAATTGTATAGGATCTGTAGGACCTTTAATGTTGGATTAAATACCCGTATATACAATGCAAACAAATATATAATTTGTTTGGGCCAGCTATGGATAAAAATTCGAAAGAATCTGTTTAAATCTGCTCTTGATTTAGTTTTACTGTTGCAACGAGTTCCATAATTAGCACGGTTAGATAGTAAATCACATAGCATTTCAAAAAATTGTAGAGATTTTATAGATTTTTGAGACATGTTGCAGTGTGGTCTGGATAAGGCTTCAAATTAATTGAATTCTTGTTTCTTGCAAGCTTTTATTTCCACTTATACTTGTATACCAACGGATTGAGCAAAAGCTGTGTGGAAAATGCATGTGTTTAAAATAATCTCTGAAATTTTGGGTAGTTTGATAATCGATTGCCACAAAGCTTCATCTTTCAAACTGCTCTCAAAGAAAGGGTGCCATCACAAAACAATTTATATTTTTTTACTGTTGAACCCAAAAAACGCTTCAATTAATAAATTACAAATTATTCTATTTAAAAGGGCAATCAAAACTCGAGTCAATATGTTTCTTCTTGCTTACAAAAAATAAAATATATTTATGAAAATAATTCAGGAACATATAAATGAATGAACGAATCCCTGTAATTTGTTTTTTTTTTTGTTTTTGCAATTTAGTTGAAATGTGTGAAAATTTTAATACAAATGTAGCTCCAAGCACAATGAATAAACTAATATACTACACCTGAATACAACCTTTTTCGTATCACAATAGCAAGAATGCTTTCAACTGAACGATCCGGTTCCCTATAGCAATCAAGCTGGCACAACTTTTGCGTTTCTTGTGGGTTTTGCATGCAAAGCTTAAGCGCTTATGTATCTCTAATTAAATTCAAATTCAATTTGCATGCCATGGATCCCTTATACATCTGCATATGCCGCCTACACGGGGTCCCCTCCTCACCATCTTTCAGGGTGTCTGTCTGCCTGTTTGTCTATCTGTCCATGCCAGCGCCTTGTCATGTACCCGCCTGACCGGCTTATGTTCTGTCTGCCCACGCCATGTTTTAGGCTTTCGAGCCAGGATGCAAGCATATCGTTGTCTAATTGTGGTGCTCGGCCATATTAAGTTTGTCTTGGAACGTGGCCAACCCTTTCGCTTCTCTGGCCCGTCTTGTTCCATGACCACTAAGCTCCTTTTGTTTTTCGCCAGCCAGGCAGCTGCTAAGGAAATTCAGCCGCTTGTACGTTTAAAGCAAGCAAATTAAAGCAATGGGAACATTACATGGCCTGCATCCAGGCACATGGGAAACAAATTTGATTAGGCGCATATAAATGGTATTCGTTCGCCATTTGCAATTATGTTCAGAATTTATGGGCAATGTTAAGAAGCCACAATTGACATGCGAAGAACAATATTTTCAGTGCATTGAATGGGATTACCTTAATTTTTCATTTTATACAAAAAGTTTCAGCATTAACTTTATTTTCATTGCAGTTTTTGTTGTTGTTGTTGTTGTTGTTGTCATTTTGGTTTATTTGCGCGCACGCTGTTAAATGAAAAATTTCAGTTGGTCACGTAAAAAGCCGAAGCTGCCGAAGGCCATGGTGGCCGGTCAAACTGGAACTTGGCAGCTGTGCGCACGTCTATGGACTGCTTAGAAAGCAGCAACAACAACAACAACAAGAATAGGCAGCTGAACAACAGCAGCAACAAAAGCAAAAACAAAAACAAAAACAAGTGCAATAACGAAAGCTATTTGCTGAAAACTTTTAGCGCACACCAGACAAGTTTAAAGCAAGAATTTTTCGTTAGTGAAATGCTCACAAGTTGGCTACCAAGGAGGTGGGACCCACACTCACACACACTCATACACACACCCATTCATACACACACTACCGCATTAAAGGTAATGACGCCATTAGTAGCACCCACTCAAAGAGACACAAAGACGCAAGCGACACCTAAACGCCAAAGTAACGACGCATCGCTTACGCGCGTAAATTTCCCAATAAAAAGCGACGCGAATGAAAAATTTTTTGACAAATTTTTTACCAAGCACTGCGCCAGCAACCAGATGGTAGATGGTAGACGGGAGTCGGCAGACAAAATGCCAAAACGGTAAAGTCACACGCCCTGCCTCTGGCACTTGAAAATTTATAGCTATTTTATCGCCAACGGAAATATTTTTTCCACTTCATTGATGCGACGGCGTGGGCGTTTTCTTCGGATGCGGAAATCGTGGGCGGGGAGGGGCGACACTGAGGCAGAGGCAAAGGAAGACGATGGTATCGTCGAAAAAGTGTCATGCTTAGGAAACTTCATTGAACTTTAATAGCCTGCCGGAGGGCAAACAACAATAGCAACAACTGAATAGACCAGACGACAAATATTGGCTGAACGAGGGTAGTATTAAGTATTAACAATATTCTAATATATTTTATTAAGAGATCAAGTAGTTGTTAATATGCAGATTAATGCAGACTTTAGAAAACAGTTCTCACGTGAAAAATTATTGCAATCAAAAAATAATAATGGAGAGGTATACGCAATAGATCCAACTTTAACTTGAAAAACTATTGGAATGAAAAAATAATAATAGTGAAATATACGCAATAGTCCCAACTTTAACTTCTGCAAGTAAAAATGAACATCACTATCAAGAAATTATTCCAGTACTAAGTTCCCAGAGCTTTACTCTTCTCTACTTCTTTACAAATATAGTACTTCAGAATCTGCAAGAGTTTTCACATCTTTCTCTAAAGTCTACCTCATTACCTTAATGCTTCTAAGTTCCATTCCACTATAATGGAATTCAAAACTCATTCAATATATAAATGTGACTCTGAAACTAAAAATTTATAAGCACCACTCAATAATTGAATACCTATAAAAGTAGTTATTGCAACCACAATTTAATTAATTTAATAAAAGTGTGTGATTTTTTAAGTCTCTACATACGTACAAATTCATCTTTTTCCGATCAAACGAAATGATGACTTATTCAATTTGTTTAGGGTTTTATTTTATTTCTGTTCAACTCAAACAAAGTCTTTCTTAACTGCAACTAAGGTGAGCAAAAGTTTTAAAAACCAAAAGTCAGTTGAAGTCAGTTTTGCTTAATGCGACTTTTCGCAAAAGGTCTGTACAAGCCTTTAAAGGCTAATGGTAATAACAATAGTCACATATGATGAAAAACTTAGAAGAGCATACTAATTTGAAACGAATATGTACACGCTCTTATAAGATATTTCGGCACCAGGTTGATAGACCATCTAGGACCCTCGAGAACGCTCTGCACATTTCTGTGAATTGTTCATGCAGCCCACGAATTTTGTTGTGGCAGATCAACAGTCAACTGCATATGGCGCACATTTTCTTGGACTTTTGGCCATTATGGGCCCATTACTCGTTGGCTTTTTTGGCATAAATGGGGCCTGCAAAAACTATTGCCTGCTTTTAGGCGGCATCTATATTTGAACTCCACAACTCACTCTATCCATAAATAAGCATATTTACGTCTGCTCTCTGCTCCTTTTTACATGTCTATGTATGTGTGGTGTTTTTTTTTTATATTTACTTGACATAAAGTCTATTCTGCGCACTGACAGTTATTGAAAACTTTTTGCCGTCGGGCATTATTTCGTCGTCTTATTAAAAAGTTGACCAAATTGACTGCCAGCCCAGCCTGTCTAGCTGTCTGTCCCAAAAAGTTTGCGCCCTTCAACCAAAAAATGCAAATAATAACAAAAGTTCGTAAGTAATTAAACAACATTAATATTCAACACGGCATGCCGACAACAAAACGAATTTAAATTCAACATATGCTATAAAAACACAACTTAATAGGGCATTAAAAAAAACACGAATAAATGAATAAATAGTTTGTTTTCAAAAATTAAATGCGAGAAAACTTAAAATAGTTTTCATTTTCCGAATGTTGTTTGTGATTTAAGTGTTTGTGTATCATAAGATAACTAGTTGTATGTATTATATAAGTCTTAATTAGTGTTTTTTCTCTCAGTACGACAAAAATTGTAAATGTTAGGCCGAAAAAAAAGGGGAGCATTGTGACAAAACGCTTTTAAAACTTAGCTAGACGATAAGTGAAGTACGATTATATACTATTAGAATGGCAATGAAACGATTGTAAGTAAAATGATAGCATCACGCGTGCTTTGGGTGCTATGAATGTTAAGTCTAGAAATTACTTAAATAGCTAATCTGTAGCTTCATGTATGTGTGTGTAGGAAAAAAAAAATAAAACAATAATACCCTTGGGGCATACAAACTTATTGAAAATATATCGTAGTGTTTACAAATATGTATGTATAGTATATTTGTTGTATTTAAAATGCTGAGACAACAAAGCTATTTCCAAAACCTATCAAGCCGTGCCCTGATAAATATAGAAATAGGCTAAGCAATATAAATGAAAAGATAACCAAATATACGAGCTAAGTAAAGGCTGCAAATCTGAGTAAAAAAATGAAACTTATCTGGCACTGTATTTTAGAAAATAGACAAACAAAACCAAGGGTAACAGCGCATTTTTGAACTACACCTTAAGGTTTCCACTATTTGTTGAAAACTAATCCGAAACATTATTCTGTGTGGTAATTTACGAAGTAAAAATAAACATTGAAGAAAACCACAAATAGCAGCAAACATAATAATATTAAACATGATGGTGTTTCTAATTGGAATTTAAAGTGGTTGGCTGAACGAATGTTCTGTCAGGCCATTAGAAGCATGCAATAATAATGCTCAAAAGCCACAACCATTAATAACAAACAGTAACTTTCACACGCGGTGTGGAACTAAAGGAGAAAGTTCGCCCTAAGCCTGTGCTAATCCCACACAGACATATCCACATTTATTGTTTCTAAGCATTGCATGTAACTGCTAATTAAGCACAACTATATTATCTACCATATATCAGTATTTATACATTTCTGTGTACAATTTGATATGTGTATTATGTGTTTGTAGTTGTAACTTCTAGACTAAGTCAAAGACACTGAATTGTAGTTAATGAAATACATATGTGAAACATATTAGAACTAAACTTTTATGCTTACCAATTCTTTTGTATAA